TTACTTTGCAAAGGAGATTGAAGTACTAAAATATAAACAGCCGAATGAGTCCATTAGACGCCCTAAACTTTCATTTAACTTGTTGTGAGAACTTTGTCCATTTTTGCACAATGATATTTTACGAGTAGGTGGGAGAATGAATTGGTCCCCATTGCCCTACGACACCAAGTGACATATTTCACTAGCAGCTGGTCATTTTTTGACATGTCTCATCATCATGGAATGTTACGAGAGCAATGGGCATGCCGGAACTTCCTATGTGCTCGCTGAAAAGGCCAAGCGCACTGGATATTACGTGGAGTATCAGCAGTACGGAAGACTCTAAAAGATTGTTCACGTTGCAAGACCTGAAATGTTCAGTCCTGGGGACAGCAAATGAAGAGCGTTGTTTAGCATTTTAAACAGCCATTACAATACTGGGCTTCGACTATTTTGGATCACTACTTGTAAGACAAAGACGAACAATGGAAAAGCGATACGGCTGCGTATATACCTGCTTTTCAGTGAGGGTAGTACACATTGAAAGTAACCGTGCTATGGGTACAGACCATTCTCAGTGCGCGTTTGCCCGATTTGTTTCATGACGTGGTGTTCCTTCGATGATCTGCAATGATAATGGGCTAAATTTTCGTGGGGGCGAAATCAGGGTAAAAACATACTGTATTGGTTTAAAACATACTTCGTCTCTAGATGCTAAAGATTGATGTTGTCTTGGTCCCTGTTAGTGATGCATCTTTTTCCGCTGTAATCGCCTTCGAAAAAGGTCTCGCTGACGACTAAGCAAAAATTTCTCGGGTTTCAAATTTACGGTGGCTCCAGAAGCAGCTTGTGGTTGCACTGGCTGTCCTTGAATTGGCGGTATCTCAATAACTTATCCCTGCTCTTCGCGACCATGCCTGCTATTTACTGAAATATCTTGCGTTTCTTGGCCGACTTTCACTATCAAGTGAGCTGATGTTAGCCGATCGGCAGCAACGAGCGAAATAGTCTGGTCGGCCTTCACAATAATCACCAAATCTCTCAATTATTTGAGATCCGGTTCTTGGTCACAATCGCAGAATTTTCAAGCTTCAAATATCCGCATCGCATCGTGACCGATGCAGTAGCTGAACATGACTTATTGTTATGAGCTCAAATATTCATCTAAGTCGATCAGTTTCGCAAAATCCATCCATTTCGTTTTCCACGCTATCCAATTAGCTGGCAAGGTGTTTACTGACATTTGTAGAGAATGTGACAATGGGACCAAAAATTGTTCACCAAAGACGAGCGGGGTTCGGTACGTCAGTACCTCTGACACAATGTCGTAATGGCTCACCTCTTGTGTTTCCGCTGACAGTACTGATAACCGATGTAGCCAGTGTGGTTACGATACAGCCACTTTCAGAAAGAAAAGACAAAGGCCTCTGGGAGAACTTGTATGGAGCATCCGGAAGGCAGAGTGTACAGCCAAAATATGGAGTCAAAATAAATAGTTCATGAGAAAAAAGACTTAAATGGTAGTTCCTGACTATAGCAACTACTAGATGCGCAAAAACTCGCTTGTTAGCTGATCACTTAGTGCGCTTACTGAGGAGCTTCAAGGCAGGTCATTCTGATTGGTCCACTTCAAGGTAAAACGATGTTATTGCCTTACTCTCATTGGCTAAGCAAGCAGCTACAGGCAGCATACGACCAATCTTCTCCGAGCTGCTTCAGACAGAGCTGGCATCGAAGGCTGCTACGGACGGCCTCCTGTAACACCTCCCCCGCGAAAAGTGACATACGACTCCCTCCTGGGATCTAGCTGCATTCTGACCACGGATCTCCGTATCGGATCAGTCCATCGTCGTGGCTGCAAGCTCGTATTCATGGTGAGTAATTCTAGTGAAGCTTTATGCACCTCGATCTACAGTTATGCATCAGAGAGATTCAGCTTTGCGAAACATTTACCATTCAATATTGTGAACAAATAATCTGGGAGTGGTAAAGGGCACTGATGGGCGTACAACGTAGCATTTAGATCCGTCAAGAAATCGGCGCATATTCGAACCTGACCGTTTGGCTTTTTGGTCACAATGGATGCCGTAAAAGACGAGTAGTTCACCGGATGGATAACGTCTGCTCTCTCCTATGCGATCCAGCTCCTGGTCAACCACTGATGTTGCCGCGCAAGGTGTCTCGTACGAAACAATGGAACAGCATCGGGACTAAAGGATATTGTAGCTTGTACTTTGGTGCACTTATTGAGGTCTTCCCGAAAGACTGCTGCATATTTCTCCCGTAGGCGCTGGATGGCTACAGCTTTAAGAGCTGTTATCTTGGGTATCTGGCCAGTTGCACAAAGCTGATTGATCGGAACATCAAGTAGGTTGAAACGCTTGATCCAGTCCAGACCCAGAAGATTCAAATTCTGGTCGCTCGTAAGGAAAATCGTACCCCATGCGGTAAAGTCGGCACACCGACACTCAGAGTCGACTTGACCAAGTAATTTCAACTCGGCACCTGATACACTTTTCGCCTGCTGACTGGTAGGTTTGATTGCTGGTGACCCTATAGTTCTCCACAGCCTTTCTGATATGACCGTAATATCTGAGGCCGTATCAATCTGCAAACGCGCCTGTCTTCCATTGATGTTTATGTTGATATGCTTTCTACGATCTCTAATATGATCAGCAAAATTGGCGTTCACCCTTCGCGAAACGACCGTTGGTTTTCTTCCTAGTGTCATGAACCGGTCTGAAAGATGGCTTGGATCTGAAATGAGATTTTTGTGCCCACGTCTACATCTCTGAGAGCTATGCTTGTTGACTGGACACCACCTGACAAAATGCCATTCTCCGCATTGCCAACACGCTGATGGTGGTTTACCTTGAGGGGTCATCTTGCAAGCAGTGGCCGGAAAGTTGTTCCTCGAAATCTGTTGAACTGCGAAATCATTGGAATGCGCCGTCGTATCCTCGACCATAGTTCTATCGTATTTTAAACTGATGACTCTCTGAGGCTCTGCAACAATAGCTTGCAGTGGGACATCTAGGTCTCGCTCCAACAACCCGAGTATTCTGGTTCGAATCTCGGCATCCTTAGGAGATTGCAGGCTGCATACCAGTATCAGACACACAAATTGGTCTTCAGCTTTATAGTGTTGCTCAGCCCAACACTGGCACCCCAAGACCGCGGTTTCGTCCTGGTTGGGACTCATCAGTTGGAGATAGCCTGAGTTGGGCTGGAACCCAAAGCCTAGTGGCTCATGGTTGACGCCATAAGCAATATACCACTGAGATCCGCGAGCAACGCTTGGTCCAGCGGAAACGAATTCAAAGTTGGACTTGGAGAATCCGCTGGTGGTTGGGTTGCTACAAACAACCACTATTGAGACCTCGGTTCACTTGAGGTGGACATCGGTCATTCCGATCACAAAGACCGTAAGTAAAAACATTATAGTGTTGCTCAGCCCAACACTGGCACCCCAAGACCGCGGTTTCGTCCTGGTTGGGACTCATCAGTTGGAGTTGGTCTTCAGCTTCTGACCCCCGCGTTTCACTGTTGCTGCATGGGCAATGAGACTGTCGCTGTGTCTCTTGCACAGCTTCAGGCAATTGTGTCGATTGTTGAAAAGCAATGCCTAATCGCAGAACATCTTCGTAAGTCGGGATATTGTTTCATCAAAGCTGTAAGCTTGAACACTTTTGGGCAAAATGGAATTGATGTATTTGTCATGCTCCACAGTCCCGAGTTTACGAACCAGCAAGCGTACTTTTGATGCATCATCAAGATTTGCCAGCTCCGTCTTGAAAATATCTTCGTAACGTCTGAAGCATGCAGCGAAAATCAGTCCTGAAGCGGGAACGAAAACAAACGCACTGATACTGTTGATTATTGCATCAAATGAAGACATCTCAGCATTGTGGACGGATGTAGACTGGAGCGATAGTGTTCGAGCGAAAGTCTCGATCATACGTAGCTATGCCGCCTCAAATTGCTGCTGCTGTTGAAGCCAAATAGCTTTCAGATTTTCTGTCGAGATTGACATTTTGAATAACTCTGCTCTTGTCGCCAAAAGCCGTTGTGTTTCCGCTGACAATATGGATAAACGATGCAGCCACTTTCTAAATTAAAGGACAAAGGCTTCTGGTGGAACTTGTATGGAGCACCCGGAAGGCAGAGTGTACAGCCAAAATAAATAGTTCATGGGAAAAAAGACCTAAATGGTAGTTCCTATATAGCAACTACTAGATGCGCAAAAACGCGCTTGTTGGCTGATAAATTAGTGCGCTTAGTGAAGGGCTTCAAGGCAGGTCATTCTGATTGGTCCACTTCACGGTAAAACGATGATATTGCCTTACTCTCATTGGATAGCCAATCAGCTACAGGCAGTATACGACCAATATTCTCCGGGCTGCTTCAGACAGAGAGAGAGAGCTGGCTTCGGTGGCTGCTATGGATGGGCTCCGGTATCTGCGTGAGAGAGAAAACCAAGTCTATGCTTCGATCAACATTCTAGTGTTAAAAAAACATGCTCATTTTATACCTCGCTTCCAGTAGAGCCACTCAATCCCTTCCATCCAACCATTCCTCTGGTGGCATCCACTTGAGCTCTGTTCTCGCCATTTCAGACCAATTACCTACTCTGTGTCAACGATTTAGGGCTACAGACGCGAGCAAGCAATTGATGACCTAGAGTCAGTGCTGTTTGCTCGCTAGCTATTGCTGATTGCATCTTACGTCCAAAAAGCCTCCAGTAATGCAGATGCTCGTACTTGACTGGATTGATTTTGCGTCGGTTTGCGAGTCTTTTCACCCATTCGTAAGTCAACTCTGTATCGTTGTTTATAAATGTTTGTAGAACTAGGGTTTACGCAGTGCAATTTATTAACCCACTGTCTTCGTATTATACCGCCCAGACCGTGCGTACGCTTTGTGACTGGGCTCGTCAGTCGGTCCTCGTAACGGTTGCTGTAACAAGGGGTAATATAGAGCATTGGAAGGAAGATGTGAGTAACGGCCAAATAGCCTTGAGATCAGTCTATGAAGTTCATCCCCAACAACAGCTGCTAAAGGAGAAAAAACCTAAAATACAAAAAATGAAGAAAAGCCAATAGATGGGCTTAGGTTGTGAGATTCTACGGAGCTACAGGGCCTTCGGAAACTGCAAAGATAATATCAAACCAAGGCAAAGCAATAACAAGGGGCACCAGGAAGTTAGCGCGCAAGCATAAACTCACCTCATCAACAATAACCAGCCCAAGATCGCTCAAAGATTTCGTGTCAATCAAAGAGTTCACGATACTCTGTGCCTTTTCAATTGTCGCTAGGAGTACGGAATTCGACCCTCGGCGTTTTACAGGAGGTACTCGACCACGACTGCCAGCATACTCTTCCACCCAAAACCCAAGTTCCAAACCCATAGCGGTCAACGAACGAACCTAGGGAAAATGCAAAACTAGGTGCAACATAGCTCCAGTTTTTGACAGTGGGTGACGCATGAGTACATCGATGAAGGCGTTTATTACAGATACACACTTAAGAGTGCAAAAAGTGGAGTTGACGTGGTAATCGGAAGTTGTGACCAAAACTACCACAGTTAAGAAATTCGGTAAAACTATGGAAATAGGGACAAAAGTGAGTTGAGCGTTTGCGTGAAGGTGGATATGCTAAACTTCAGATCGCCTAGACGAAGATAAATTTCGTCCAAATTAGAGGAACGCTAAGTGGAAAAACTAAGCCAAGTAAAAGCTGAAGCAGAGTCACACATTTTGCACGTTGAGAGGAAATAATAGTGTGGTAACCTTCAAACGCCATCGCAATGAGGCCGGACCTTACCGTGGTGCGATGGTTTGTGTGCCTCAGTGATCCATTGAGCTATACTGGGTGGTGCTTTTGCACCTTCAGAGCCACTCATACCAGATTGGTCAATGGTTAGAGGCCAGACAAACTCAGCATCCTGGTCCTCCAGGTTGGGGGTTGAAATGAGGGTGGCACCTTATTCCTTAAAACGGACTCCTTGTAGTCCAGTGCCAAACCCGCTGCCTTGCGGACAGGTTTTTGAACCAAAGGCTTTGGTTGAGAACCCTAATCGTTCTCCTGTCTAGGCCTGGGCAACCTGACAGTATCCTGCCCACGCAATACAATGAATCTTCCCAAACAAATTGCTGATGCTCTGGCCACCGCAGAGGATAATCAACGGTGCCCTATCTGCTGCATCGAGCAGGGTGGATAGGGGTTTGGATGCTACTGCTCAAGCCTTCCCATCTTCTTATTCCCCTTCTTGCGCTTTTTCACCCTTATCGTCCCGTTCCAGCTTCACTTTTATCCCCCCTGTTCTCAACCCCCCAATTCTCGGCCCTCCCCCACCTTGCTTCAATAGTCGCTTGTCTTTTAGTTTCAACTCATAGGCGAACGCAGAGCGTCATTCCTGCACTGTCAACAGGTCCATGTCCAAGCAAGCGGCCCATTCCAGTTCATCGGCTTCCATTTGGAGCCCTCGATCCTCTTTCAGACTGGCATGCCTCAATGTTCGCACATTGCTTCAGATCGGTCAACAGGCAGCACTTGCCCGAACATTAGAGACCCTCTCGATCGATATCTGCTGCTTATCGGAGACCCGCCTGCAAGACTCGAGCTCTGTACTCACTCTGCGATCCCCTTCAGGTGACACTAGCAGCACTTTCTCATTGCGCCTATCCGGTGACGATGCAGCTTCGAGCACCGGCCAAGCCGGTGTTGGTATTGCCCTGAGTCCCCGGATTGAAGCTGCTCTGGTTGATTGGATTCCAATCAGTAGCCGGATGTGTGCGGTCCGATTGGCTGGCTCGTTCAAAACTTCGAAGTCGCGTGGGACTAACAGGTGTCTATTCGTTATCGCTGCCTATGCACCGACAAACTGTAGCGATGACTCGGTAAAAAACGACTTCTATCGCCAACTGAACGAGCTCCTTAGCCACAGAAGAAGCTCGGACACTGTAGTGTTGGCTGGGGATCTGAACGCTCAAGTTGGAAAATTATCCACAGATGAGCTGCATCTGGGCGGCCAACATGGTATAGGCTCCCGTAATGATAACGGTGAGCGGTTACTTCATTTGTGTGAGGATGCTCGCTTATTTCTTGCGAGCACTAATTTCCGACACAGCACCCGCCGGAGGGTGACTTGGCGCCCACCAGCCTCGAACCAGCTATGGACGCAAATCGATCACATTGCTATCAGATACCGCTGGAGAGGCTGCGTCCAGAACTGTCGCTCGATTTGGAGCACAGGTGTTGACACCGATCATGCACTTGTATGTGCTGACCTGCGGATGCGCTTTGGCGGACGCCCGCGACGATGTTGTGAGCGCATTGACACCGGCAGACTGGTGAAGCCAGCTGTTCTGAACGCCTATCAAATTACGCTGTCATCCGAGTTGGATAAACGCCTCACTGGATGCAATTGAAGCTCACTGGTCTCATATGCAACAGGCCTTACTAGCAGCAGGCAAATCCTCATGTGGTATGTCTAATCGCCAACATGAACATTGGGTCTCTTCACAGTCTCTGGAACTTATAGATGCTCGCCGGCATATTCCGGCTGGAAGCGAACACAATGAAACTCGCAAAGAGCTCCGGGCAAAACTCCGTGCTAGCCTGAAGAGAGACCGCGAATCCTGGTGGTCTCGTCGTGCAACAGAGATGGAAATGGCCGCTGCCCATGGTAACCATCGTGAGTTATTCCGTCTTATACGGGAAACGGGCAGCAGGAGACCTGGTGTTAGTGAAACTATACGTGACGAGAGTGGACAGCCTATCCACAACTTATCAAAACGCCTGGAACGTTGGGCTGAGCACTTTGAAAGGCAATTTAATCGGTCGGAATTGTTAGATTTCTCGCCGACCAGTGATCGCCCCGCTCCGTGGGCTGTTCCTTTGGATCCACCCTCTCGCTCAGAAGTCGAACATGAGATCAAACTGTTGAAGTTAAATAAAGCCGCGGGACCTGATGACCTTCCTCCAGCCCTCTTCAAATTCGGAGGACCTGCTCTTGTGGATGATTTACACGAGTTACTAGTGAGACTGTGGGAGCAGGGAACTGTCCCAACCGATTGGAGCCGCTCCATCATAGTCCCAATTTTCAAAGGAGGCTCACGATCGGAATGCGGCAGCCATAGAGGAATCAGTCTGATCTCCATCGCCTCCAAATTGCTTGCCTCTGTCATCCTTCACAGACTGACTGGCACTCGTGAAAGCCAGATTCGCGAAGAGCAAGCTGGATTTCGTCGAGGTCGTAGCTGCATTGACCACATCTTCACTTTGCGTCAGTTGTTGGAGCACCGTCACATATATTGGCGGCCCACCGTTGTCGTGTTCCTCGATATCAAAGGTGCATTCGATTCGGTGGATAGACATGCACTTTGGGACTGTCTACTCAGGAAAGGTGTACCTGAGAAATATGTGAATATTATCCGAGCATTATATGCGCGTAGCTCGGGCAGAGTGAGGGCTTACGGCAAGTTGTCGTCGCCCTTTAATATCTCCAGCGGTGTGAGACAAGGATGCCCGCTGTCACCTTTCCTCTTCAACTTCGCTGTTGACGAAGTCATGGAAATCGCGTTTACAGGACACGACTTAGAAGGTGTGGAGCTACTCCCAGGAGAACGACTTCTTGATTTAGAGTATGCTGATGATATTGCCCTAATCTGTGACAGCTCACAAACGTGCCAAGCAGCACTGGACAGATTAGCACTAGCTGTCCGTCACTTCGGGCTTTGCTTCGCACCCTCAAAGTGCAAAGCGTTTCTCCAAGATTGGTCTGGACCGCCTCCTACGCTGACCCTTGGTGGGGATCAGCTAGAAGTCGTTCAAAAATTCAACTACCTGGGAAGTTGTATCAGCGCCCGTGGGATTGAAGATGAAATCATGAATCGTATAGCAAAAGCTCGGGGCGCTTTTGCTAACCTTCGCCACTTATGGCGCCGGCGCGACATCACTCTTGCCCTGAAGGGTAGAGTGTACAATGCAGCAGTACGTTCGACCCTACTGTACGGTTGTGAAACCTGGCCGCTTAAAGCAGCGGACCTGAAGAGGCTAGTTACGTTCGACCACCGGTGCCTTCGCAATTTAGCTCACATCTGGTGGGAACACCGCGTGAGCAACGAGCGTGTTCGACGCCTTGTTTATGGCACATGAAAAGGAAATGAACCGCTCAGCACCGTTATTTCACGCATCAGGCTCCGATGGCTCGGCCACGTGTTACGCATGCCAGCCCACCGACTCCCGCGACGTGTGTTGTTTGCGCGCCGGGGGTGTGGATGGAAGAAGAGGAGGGGTGGCCAAGCGATGACTTGGTCCAGAGGAATGAAGGCCCTCACTTTTGAGCTGGCCTCGGTTGGAGCGTCTCGGCTCCCTGGTTGGGGTCCAAAGGACGATGAACACGTTTGGTTGGACACACTTGCTGATATGGCTAGGAGCCGACCTCAGTGGCGTTTGTGCTGTGAGTTTCTTTGTCCCACCCCATCCCTCTTAGCCTCCCCCTCCAACCACGATCTCATTATTTAGCCTTATATAATCTTGCATAATATTTTTTTCTTTTTGAGTGCACAGCAGCCGGCTGGTAGCTTACCGGAACGATGCCCATCCGTTACCGGTAGCTCAGCCAGCTTGCACCAGTTGCTTTTTTTTCTTTTTTTCTATGTATTGCGGCACAGTAGCTGAGGTGTTCCCCACCTCCAGCTAACGTGTATGATGATGATGAACCTTCAAACGGGACGGACAAACTGTTGTTTCTTTAGGCATCAGGAAGCGAGAGCATATTTGCTGTGAGATGTACCGGTCGAAATCCATACAACAGAATTAAAATAGCAAGAGGAGAGAAAGTCTCCTCAGATCTACTGAGATGGCACAGGGTGACAATCGTGAGGTTGAAGTCCAGAAAGGAGTGAAACAAGAAGCGAAGTAAATCTTTAAAAAAACAAGTGATGCAATACCGTACTTGTAAGTGAAACGATCAGGCAGAAAAACAAGTGCAAAACGACGATTAAGATCGTTTAAGAGAAATGCACCTTTTCCTGCACAATAGAGACAAAGGGAAGGATAAACAGAACATTCTTCCCGCGAAGTAACAATTCTTGTAGCATCAGTACTTCGGCCACGAGAGTTTTACCTCCACTAGTTGGCAAGCAATAGACCAGGTTGGATCCACTACACACGGATGTCATGCTAAGGCATTCTTTCTGCCAATCTAAACAATGAATTAGACAGAACGGGGTTACCGTATAAGGTCTCAACTCCGCGCTGTTCGGCATACAATTGACGAACAACAGGAGGTAGGCCGTAGAAGTCAGCAGACCCAACACGATCTTCAAAGAGTAGTGGGGAGTGTATGGATAGAAAGGTGATAACAAACCTAGTCCATTGATAACCGTTTTATCCAAGGTAACAGCAAGATGCGGAGTTATTTTGTCGGACAGATCCATACCGCTGGAAGTTGCACAAGATCCGCGAAATGGACATGGCGATGCAATCATCATCAGGTTCAGCTGAAGAGATCCTAGAAACAGTGTGCGCAGAGCTGTAACTTGATTGGGATGGACAAAAGTAAAAATAAAAAGCCGGAATTTCCACAGAAGTGGATATTAGTGGTAAGCTTCTGAGTGCACCGCTAACCACGGTTACTCAGAAGGGCTAAATCTCATAACAGGAACGAAACTTCTCAGTTCACTATCGTAATCAACGTCTTCCATATTATCCTCATGGATGACAAGTGCTTGACCCAAGGGAGCAAGGCTGCATATCACCGAGTGTATCTACAGGCTGCGGATAGGAGAGTGACCGCCTATGGCGTTTAGCCTCGAAACAATCAGATCATGACCCATAGAAGAAACAGCCGCGGACAAACCTGTCCAGTACAACTTTATTGGATCCAAGTTGACTTGGGTCAAAAAAAATTTGGCAAGAATCAAATTTTGTTTTACGTGGCTATCCACTGTTCCATTATATTTAAGCTAAAAAACAGCATTGCGCTGAACCCTGAGGGCTCCCTTGTACAGGAAGAACCAACAAACAAAAAACCTGGTTGCTCGTTGCAATGTAAATTGGCGTCGGAACGAGAGGATAACCTTTTGACTGTTGTTTATGCGTATTGTTGAGCCGGAAATTGATAAGACTAAAACAAAAGCTACATTACACCATAGTCGACCAATTACTGCTCACATTCCTTGCCAGGCCGGTTTATGTGAAGTAAGAGTGAACTGTAAGCAAAGAAAACAAGAGATATGTCAGCTAAATAATGAGAATACCAATGTGTCGGAACTGAAAAAAGAATAGCAGACTGAAGATGCAAGTATGTCAGTAGAAGGAGATCTGGTTCTGCTACGCAGGAGCACCTAACTGATACTCGAAATTGCAACCCCAGAGTCATTAACAATGTGCTCCGGAAAAAAGTTCCGAAGTCCGTTAACTCAGCGCGACCAGTTTCCGCACAGCATCTAAGATTTTCGCCAGTCACCGCGGAACGTTGTGATAAGGCGAGTGGTTCATGCACATAATCGGACGCAGTGGGTTACCTAGCTTGAGTAACTAAGGCGCGCCCCTCATTCTCGGTGTCGGCGTCCTAGTCGGTTTCAGCTGTCTGTAGTGCGACTCAGTGATGTATCTGTGTAGCAAAAGAATCTGGAGTTTTCTGGCCACCTGCTTCTCCACCAAGATGTTATTCTCCGGTGTCGTGTCTATCAGGAATTTACGTCTATCCCGCAAAATATACCCCATTTCGGAAACGTAGTCATTATTAAAATGCCTGATTCTTTATCCGGCTACAGGAAGGTTACATGTGCCATTTTCAACTCTTTGATCGCCGCACTATTCAGACTTCAGGCAACAACTCTGGCTTATTTGCATAATAAGAAATTGGTTCGCGATATCTTCCAATTTTGCCCGAAACCAACCCACATCTTCTATGGATCTTGTCGACATAACACTGAGTTAGTCAAACAGATACTCAAAGTGGGCATGCGTATCGAGCCTGTCTATCATCTTGGGTGGCAACCGATATTACATTCCAAGGAAAAACATCCGGCTGCGTGCGAGTGAACTAAGCAGATGATAGGTGATATACGTGCTTTGGGCAATTAGTAGGGAAAGAAGCAGATGTAGTCCTTGCAACCGAACCCTGTAGGTTGGGAACTGTTTTCATTCGCGTACGACGGAGAACTGCAGAGAACGCATCAACTTTCAAGCAGTAAATCAAAGATATCTCATTGAGCGTGTCAGCGAATCGTCTGTGTTTCGAGGAACTTCCGTTCACGTTCCACACAGGCGTCAAGGTGCGCCGACGCGGTCCTGGTCAAATTAGTGTTATTTGCAGGCAACTTGTTCGACAACGCCTTGACAAACCGTGACGGAAAACAGCCTGATGGGATACATCCTTCAAAAATGTGTATCCTCATGCGTTCTACAGCCAGCTTACAACGCAACGACAACAATCGGTCTAATACCCTCGCATCGATAACGGAGTCTTCTTTTCAGAAACGTAAAATATTGGGTTCCCTTCAGCCACTTGATCAAAGCAGAGAAAACACAGAGATTGCGATATGTCAACATTTCGATTGTTCTCCTTAGTCGCATGCACAATACAAGCAGAAACACACACACAAATACATACATGGAAAAAATTGGCACACCAATCAAAATGCCAAAATCAAGGACAAGACAATATAATTAGTTGCCGCAAAAGTTTCTGTGCACATAGCACAGGTTGATAGGCCATAATTAGCAACGCTTCACTGATTGCCAACATTATCGGGTTCCGGTTGCGTAATAGCACTTTGAACGCAGTCTTCGGGCCCACATTGTGACTAGTTGTCACGAGGTGCTTGGTAATAGATGATGGCAAAATCCGGTTCATTCTAGAGAGGCCGCTCCGGTTTGTTGCGTCCTCCTTTGTTGTACCCACTTTGATAAGTGTTCAGCCACTCTCAAAGCCAATCGACGGTTCGTTCTGCCTATGTAAACGTCATCGCGACGGCAGCTGAACTGATTAATCACACGAGAGGCCAAACTAGCCGAAGAGTAGCACTGATGGTCATAATGAACAAGTTTTCGAGTAGAGTGCATGAGGCGCAACTGGGCATTCGTGTAAGTGTGCGTCAAGGCGGACCTGAGCTTGTGCCCGATGTCAGTTTCCACATGGTCTAACCTGAACAGTAGAAAGAGATAAGCTGTTTTTTTCCGCCGTTAGCACCGGTAGTTTTATTTTGGGGAGTCTGCTGTGCACTTGAATGGACTTTTCAGGATAACCATTAAACACCTCTTTAGCTTCCATCGATTTCGCATTACAAATTCATATGGCCCTGTAGAAGAGCATTTTCACTAGGTCGTGTTTGCATGTAACCGGGGCGAAACTGGAAAAATGAAGTAACCGCCCACTCCAGGTTGCTTTGCGGTAAACGGTGCGCTGCAATGTACCTCCGTCCCGTCTCTTAATGATATCCAAAAATGACAGAAAGCCGTGTTGTTCCATCTTCCGAGAGACCGATAAGTTGGGGTTAATCGAAATCAGAATGGTAAAATGTTCGCTATTGGTGAACATCAGAATGTCATCCACATACTGTGATGAGCACTGATTATTCCCGGAATGAAGGAAGGAGGCAAAGGCCGATATGGAGGCTTTACTCGATTAATAATTCGGACGCATGAGCTGTAAAAACTGAAGCGAATTAGAACGGTGAATATGTCAATGCATAGAATACGACAAAATTAAAAATACATAACATTCTCCCACACTGTGAAATCGTTGCTGAGTAATTGATAATGTTTGTAAAAATGAATGTGGCGTGGAGCGGTCAGTGTTAGGATGGGAAATTGGATAAGAGTAACAGGCGGGATGTGAACGCAGGAACGGTTCTAAAAGGCGACGAAGAATAAATAATGAGCGAGAAAATAGTATCAAGCTTCACGATTCCTCAGACTGTACGGCGGAGTTCGTTGTTGCTGCTGTAGCACAGTCTCTTGTTTGACAATCATGTCGTAAGGGGATGGATCGGGAGTCGCTGGCGAGGTAGTACTAGGGATAATGATATCCGGTGGATTCAATACATGGGGGCGTTAGAGGGACAACATTGCAATCAGGAATCCTGTCAGCAGCAGAGGCCAAATAGTAAAAACAGTCTCCTCTGCCATCGGGAAGTAGGCAAAGGCATAATCCGGGTTACAATCGAGTAGTTCGACTTCTTCAACTAATAGTTCGTATTTCGATTGACATGAAGCACATTTCATGAGTACCCGACCAGGCTCGAATAGCCACGTTGGAAGGGAAGTGCCAGTAGTTGACTTGCGACTGAATCGAAATAAGCGCTCATGTGGAGTTTCGTTGGTTGTCGTGCATAGCAGCGATCTGATGCAGTGAAGAGCATCTAAGATAACCAACTCCAACTGTCCGACATGCAGGTTTTTAGAAGATAGTGAGAGGGTAAAGGGCGCGCAACAAGGTTCTATTGAGACGCTCAACCTGCGAATTGCCTTGCGGATTAGAAGCGGTAGTCCTACTGGTGGATATTCCCTTATCGTGCAGAAGCTTTCATTTCTTCGGACACAAAAGAAGGACCGCGGTCATATTGTACATATGACGGTATTGCGAATAAACCAAACAGCTGAGTGAAGCATCAGATCGCTGTTGTAGAAGTCATATCAGAGCAGGCAAACGCGAAGGCAAACCGAGAGTATTCGTCAATCACAGTCAAGAGATACCTGTTTCTTAAAGTCGATGGAAGTGGTCCCTTGAAATTAATGTCCAACCGTTCAAACGCCTGCGTAGCTTTAACGAGTCGACCAACAGGGGGTCTAAAGAACCTAGGTTTGATTTCAGCGTAAGCTTTGCATTGTGAGGTCATCGTCCTGACATCCACCAAGGAAAATAGGTTACGAGAAGAGATAAAATGCATCCTACGAGAAACAAAGGTGTGGCATAATGATTTGCGTAGTTCGGTAACTTCTGTAATACTCAGAGACGCTAAACAATGAACCCTGGAAAGCGTGTCGGCTGCTTTATTTCCGCTTCCCGTTCTATGCATTATATCGACCCGATAATTTGATACCTCCAAACGCCAGGGTAGGATCTAGTCATTTATAATTTTCCCTTGTTGCCGCCGTACATGAAGGTTAGTAGTAGTAGTCGTAGTAATAGTAGCAACTAGACACAAAGGCAACAGAAAACCATGGAGATCAGAGGATAAGGGAGAGTCACCGCGTCATAATCATCGTGGCATGCTAATTGAAGGTGAGCAACACACTTTAGCTATGACAAAGGAAGAAAGGAACAACTGGACAAAAAGTAAAGCGAGACATTTTTGTTCGTTTTTATCATGCCGATTTTTCTCTTTTTTGTCATTTCAATGTTCGAAGTATTAAACATGTGAATCATACAATACTGTACACAATTCTTCCACTGATTCCGGTTGCGGGCCATGTCTTCAAGAATGTTAAGCCATTGGCACTCATCATGTTTGGGTCCCCATCCTGGAAGACGTAAGGA